TCTACAGCTACAGATGCATATGTATGCCAACTGCACCCATTAACTAAACCAACAGAAAACTTAACACATGGTCACATTACCACATGACCATATAAGCATCCACTGCTTATCTCTTCCCTAATTAGGTTGATCATTTTTTTAGTGGTTCTCTTATCAGGTCGGTCATCATTTTTTTTATTTGATAAATAGGAGTATTTGAAGTAAAATTGGAGATGGATTGTGATGTATGTACTGTGCATTAACCTTAAAGTTAGTGGTGTGGACTCAATAACCTTTTGGGCATGAGTAACCACAAAAAATCAGAGAATAAAGGAAAAAGACTAAATTATCCTTATAGGATATAGGCAGATATATATTACAGGAAAAAAACACATGTAAACTACAAATTACAACTGTCCATTCATTATAACTATAACACTGCATCACTGCCCCTTAAGTTGATGCTCGATCAACCGTCTCCTACAACTTCATCAATATATAGCCAATCCGCTCTTGCCAATAGGCTTGGTAAAAATACAAAGGATCTGCATGCTATTACAAATACATCATTTCCACAGTATTGTGATAGGGTTATGACTGCCCATCAATGTGTTGGACATTGATTGGCAAAAGTCAACTGTAAACTTGGAATGAAGACAAGTTTGGTGGGACGCACTTCCCCACATCACTGTCCAACCAATTGAAATGATTATGATCACTCCCTTTGATACTGTAGAAATGATCATACGAGCCATACCATTTCTTCCAAACTACAAATTGAAACTGTTCCTGCAATACGACTATAACCCCTTATGTTGATGGATGAATATCAGTGGTGCCCAGATATACCCAAATGTCCCCTTGTCAACAAGCTCAGTAAAGATGTTTGCTGGCTAATCTTCCCATCTTCACTAAATGACAAGGAAAGAAAAAGAGAAACAATAGTAATACTTGCAATAGGAAGTCATAAACTTAAGGAGTAAAGAGCTCACGGAAGCTATAAAGGTCACATTGTGCCTTGAACTTGGACGGTTATAGAGAAAGGGTGCCTTACAACAATGGACCCATGGATGCTGGACTAAACTCATAACCAACTTAAGTCACTCATAAACATTTATAGGAAATAAAAATGAGATGTTAAAATCAAGGGTAATAATTTTAGCCTTTACCAATTAATTGGGGTCGGCTTCTTAATACCATAAATCAAGGGTAATATTTATACATTATGAATTAAAAGACTCAAATTCGTTGATGATCAACAGTATTGTAGAAATATTCCTAAGGAAGTGTTTGACCAAAAATCCCAGTAATTTTATCTTATAAAGTATTTGAATGTGAATGTGGGTTTTGGTTTATTTATAAAGGTTTGCGAGGAAGAGAGAAATGAGATCAACCATGGGCAACAGGGCTCCTACACCTCATTTGGCTAGTGGAACCCACTTAACATTTTTCTTCGAAAATGAGAAGATTTAGAGGAACATAATTGCTCATAGCTAACAAAAAGACGAAAAAATAGCTGGAGCAACAGTATAAGGCCAATAGCAGAGATATTGGAATTGAACAACTCTCCTCATCCTCCTTTATGTGAGAATCACACTACACAAATCAAATTCCTCCATCACCTCAGCCTCATGGCCTCTATACACAAGTCTAACGGACAAACTTGAACAATATCATCACCTCCTTAAACTAGTTCTCGACTGAGAGGGGCGCATCTAGCTCACACCACCAACTCCAAATAACAAAAAAAACCTCTATGTCTAGATTCCTAATAACTTTCCATACCTAGGAAATAAAATTTGGAAAACCTCATCATACCATTTGACAACCCAAAAACAGCATCGACAACCATCAACTACATTTACCCAAATACCAATTCTAATTTCAGTTAAAGCTTTTCTAATTACACATTAAGCTCCAGATATATTGTCTCTTTCGTTCCATTTACCATCCTAGATTCAGCATATTGAATTGCGAAGTTCTTCACAAGCGCTTGCATCCATGAGCGATAAACCTACAATCTCAACCACTTAGGCAATTAGGATAAACAGGCCTCAACCAACTCAATATTTTGAATTGCTAAACATTCTTAGTTTCTGGTACAACAACAAAACCCGCCAATCTCAAGTAGCACCCAAAGCCATACAAGATGCCGTTTCTTGTTGATATGCCAGTAGTTAACGGGACTAGTTTTATTTTTGCATAAAGTCATCCCATTTCCTTTTCACGATAGATAAAATAACTAAAGGAAAGGTCAGAAAAAGAACAAACATGAATCAGGCATAAATATTAAGACCACATTGGCATGGAATTGCCTAAAAGATCTTGACCATGATTGGGTGCAGTGCAATGGAGCTTGATCCAAAGATATAGCAGTTGACAAGTACTCTAAAGCCAATTAGACTTGGATTACCAACAAAAATGCATGTAACAAAGAAGTTACTGTGACAAGGTCAAAGGTATCTGGCATCATCACTCATATCAACTATCTTTACACTAAACAGTTATAAGTGCATCCTAGAATTTCCAAAGGTAGGGCCAATAAATCAGCAGAAACCTTCCCTGAAATGACAAAACATAACATCATTATAAAGGCAATCTACAAGGGATATAACCCATCTGAGACTGGAACTATCAGCCTAGTTTGTTGTTTCTGAAAACTTCTTTACATGAGGTCATACGAATAAGCAGGTATATTCACAGTATTAATGTAGAAGAGAGATCCAAAACATCAATAATAGAATGTCAAAGGCCTACCTATGTGCCATGCATCAAACACAAATCTTTAAATCCTTTCATTGACTTCAAAAAATAGGCCCTTGGAACTCATTTTAAGGACCAAACATTATCTTCATGGGCATTTTCCTGCTCCAACACATTTTGCCATCTATAACTATAGACATAGTTCAAAAACCAGAGAAGACTCGACCAGGTCCCTTTCTAGCTTGATTCAAGGTAAAAGTCAAAGTAGATTCATTCATATTCTATTTCATTTTAGGTTTTAAAAGATTAAAAACAAAAAAAAACTTGAGATACAAACTATGATAACAAACGTAGAACACTTTTTCCATCATTCATAAGCATCATGGTTACACAACGTGATGGATTGATTCTTTAATAAGATCCAATTTCGGAAACTTCAAATTCAGATCTTTAAAAAAACAGGTAACTAGGGACAAATGTGAAGTCATTGAAGAGAGATGTAGTGCATCCAGAACAAACAGGAACCACATGATATGTAGAAGTACCGACGTTGACAATTTGGAGAACTATCATAATTTAGGTTACTAAAGTTACAAGAGTTGTTTTTTTAAATAAGATGAAATCCATATTCAATAGACAGTCCAGTAAAATCCCCAAAACTCCAATGTCAACCATTTTTGGTTAAATACTGGTACCAAGATGGGTAACCCCCTGGTAAGCCCACATTTAATGCCCCACATTTACTTCCCAATCTTAAAAGGAGAAAAAATGAAGAGGCATGTGAATGGTAACTTTCAAGAACAGCTGATCTCAACTGAAAAAGGGTCATCAATATGGATAACATGTTACTCTTCAGCTAGTTTAGAGGTAGGATTTGAACTTGGGACATGGAGTTGCAATAGTCAACACCTTAACCATTCAAGCCGAAGCCCAAGCCCAAGCCCAAGACCAAAACCATGCAAGACCAAGACCAAATCGATAGAAAAGAAATCATTAAGACAAACATTTGCAAGGGTCCTTCCAATCAATGAGGCAAGCAATCGTGATTAAAATAATCAACACTGTAATAGAGCAAAAAAAATTTCTGAAACAATTATACCATAAGGATCTCTAAATCTACCGCAAGCATTCAAGATAAAACAAAAAGCAGGTTAAATGGATGACTAATGTTCTACATGTACTATTTACGAAAGTATAATAGCAAGGAAAGTATCTCACTGTGCTCGTTTACCACTAATACCAAATAATGATTTGATAATCGATGTACATGAATTGACAATTACAAACTGGAAATATTTGTAATCACAAACCTCAGTAGTCGGCAAAAGAAGAAGTATAGGAAAAGAATCATACTTTCGTTGGGGCCATTAAATTCCACATTGAATTCATGCATGCCATCATTGATCATCTCCACTTTGTAATCACTCATCATCCTGTACCAAAAAGCATAAAAATGAAAAAGAATTAAACAAAGGAAACAAGGATTAAACATTGCCCAAGTCAAGTTAAGAAATGAAAAAAGTGTCACAAAGCAACTTATGTCCTGCACACACACACACAGCCACTCTCACGGAAAATACCAATGTTATGGACACAAATATTTCACAAAAAACAGATTATTATATATAAAGAAAACAAGAAGGCCATATGAGTATTACATATAGTATCTTGATGATGCAATTAGGTAGATGTGCCAATACCTGAACTAAACAAAATACACAAAACAAAACGAAAAAAGAAAAACGAAATGCAAATATTAACCAAAAAATTAACTCAGAAAGACATGCAAAATGCAAATATGAACTGCAAAAACACAGAAAAAATTAACTCAGAAAGAAATGCAAAAATGCAAAACATGCGCAAGATTCAGAGTACACACTGCTGCATCAGAAAAATATTCCATTTTTATGATTAATCAACCAAAGATTCACAAAAAGAAAATTAAAAAGAAGGCACTGGAAAATAAATAAATAAATAGATAAATAGAATAAAGAATAACTCACAGCTTCATAACATCCATCTCCCTCCTCTTGCTCGGAGAAGACATGATTCCTGCGTTTCAAAAAGAAAAAAAAAATCGAATAAAAGAAACATATGTATGATTGGGCAAATAGACGTACCCAATACAATAAAAAAAATGATAAACTTGAAACCAAAGAAAAGAAAAATCAGACCCAACATGATAAATTAAAGGACCCAACTGACCTTCTCAGTAGAGATCCAGAAGATAAGCAAACCCAACTCAAAATTCCCTTCAGAGAAGTTGATACTGAGATAGAAAAGAGATAAGAGGTCAAAAATAGATAAGAGATAGAGAGAGAGAAAGAACAAGAAGTGGGGTGGTAAGGTTCTCTTTCAATATAAAATAGAGAGAGAAAGATTACGTAAAGGAGGTGAAAAGAAGGAGAAAGGGTCATAAAACGAAGGGGCTAGATCTTGAACAAAAAGCAGTGAATTTCGGAGTACTTAGGGTGGCTACAAAAGGGGGTAATCGGAGAGAGCTAAATCGACTGCAACCTTTTCTTCACTATCTCAATCCCTCTCTCTCTTCCTCTGTCTTCTCTCTCTACAATTGATGGGCGCCTGTAAATCTCATATATAATAGCCTCTTTTGTGCCAGGTGAAAAGAGAGAGAAAAAAAGCCACTCATCAGATTACGTCTATTTTTACTTATGTATGTTAACATTATGTTGTCATGTCTATTATCAAGCACATGTATGGGTCGCCATGGATGATGCATGGTTGTTACGGGTGAGGGTCGAGTGGAAAGTTTTTTATGGGAAAATATATAATAAAATCATTTACTTTCCGTACAATCGTACAATCTTAACCATTGGAAGTGAAAATTGGATGAATGCATTTAGTTGATTGACCTCAAAATTTAAGAATGAATTTTTGAACTTTTATAGGACGCCCCTGCTATCGGATTTCATAATTCATAACGGATAATTATAAGTAATCATAACTTCCTTGTAGTAAATGTAAATGGTTTTGTATAATATAAAAAAAAATTCATCGGTGGTCATGGATGTAGAGTAATTCGATGCAATTCAAGTATGGTCGTGAACTTATTGTATAGAGCATGGTTTAAAAAATCGTCGAGTCGAACCAGACTCGTCTGGTTCGCCTCGAGAATCGTCTGATACCGAGCAGTTTTCACGAATAAATCGGGAATCGCCCGTGTCCAGAGAGAACCGGGTGATTCCCAATAGTGAATCGCGAGTTAAACCGAATCACACACAAAAACACGGGCTGCACAGTGTTCTTAATGGGATTTCATTTTTTTTGTCATTTTGTTATTAATTTTCACCTTTTTCAGCCTTATGAACGAATCTTGCAGGCTTTAATTCAAATTTCTGATCCATTTCAGTCAATACAATGAATTAAAAAGAAACATTTTCTATCAAAAATTTATGGATCGAAGAGTGAGTTTAGGGTTTCCGCCATTTCACTGATTTCAAGCGAAAGAAGGCATCATTTTTTGTAAAATTTCAGGGTGATTGATCGTAAGAGTGTTGGTCAGAAGTTTTCGTTTATAATTTGTGATTATTTTGGAGGAATACATATCAATTTTGAATTTGAAGGCACAGGTGCACGAAGAACAGGTAAGAACTATGTGTTTTTTTTTTTTTCCGCCATGCGATCAAATTCAGTCAATATTTTACAAATCATGTATTAAATTATAGGCTTTTGATTCGTTGTAGTGTTGTTTATCATCACATGTATTCAATTTGATTATATTTATTCAATTTGAGTTGGATTTTTGAGAAAAAAACACTGATGTCTATGAAACAAAATGGACTGAGTTTTTTTTTTTTTCCG